CAGGAATGCAGATCGATGCAGAAGCACACAGACACGCAGCAGCACACATGTGCGTCAAAGCTGGTGTAATACAGCAGCTCTGCTTTGCTCAGCATTACTTGCTGCCTTTGGGGTACAAGTATTAACCCAAATTGCATGCCAGCCCACATGTTATAGTTAAAATTGACATATTCAGACTAAGGATCTAATTCTCTTTCAATTTTCCAAGCTGTTTTTTACATCTAGACAGAATACTTAAAGTTATGGGGGTTTTGGTTTGTATTATTCTCTGTTGTGAATCTTTTTGGATCCTCTGCTGGTGCAGTTAGTAATTTCCATGGTGCTTCATAACTGGTATATACTAACTCTGTGTTTTCAAGAGGCTGAAAATAAAACAGGATTACAATAAAATTACCAGGGGGTTTTGTGTATCATAACGCAGGCCCGTTGCTGTGCAGGAGCTTCTTTCAGCCAAGAGATGTGCTGGACACAAATACCCTTTGTTAACATTTCTTTTTTTTCCCCTTGTTAAACCTTTGGCTGGTTCTGACCTCCAGGCATAGCTGGAGGTAACCCACAGAAATGTGCTGCTGGCTGGGAGGAGTCTTCTGGAAAGGCTCATGTCCGAAGCTCCCATCCTCATCCCCAGACTGCATGCAGTGGCTCGAACAAGTGCCTTGAAAGCCAGAGGTTCTGCCAGGGATTTAATTAGTGTTGTCTCCATGTTGCCTTGGGAAGGAGGCTTCAGCATAATGCCAGAAAAAGCCAGATATGGACAAGTTTCATGCCATTTTGGATCAAGACACTGAGACTGCCATTCTCTGTGCTAAAGTGGAAGTTCTGCAGCTCAGAGCTGAAAGATGGGGAAGAATCCACCACCACGTCCCACTTCACACTATTTCCCAAGGGACCTAGCCACACTGTAAGCTAGCACTTCCTCATATATCCCACTTTTAGCTGGTGTAGTTCGATAGAGTGGTCCTTAAACATACCCTTTTGCTCTCTATAAGTGCTGCACAGGTTTTCACAGTGCAACAAGTGACATTTGTGCAAGATGAGTCCCACTGATGCCACTGCAATGCCACAGCCTGTCAAAGCCTTTCCAGCTAAACATACAGAACATCACAGGTTGCATCAAAGACTCCATCTTTCTAGCAGAGACCCTCTGTAGAAGGGATCCTCTGGTGCAAATAACACCAATATATCAAAAGAAAACAAGTATGTATTCTAGGTTTAAGCTTGAATGTGGCTAACAATTACGCTGGTCTCTATTTTAGGACGACATGGTGAAGCCAAAACAAGACTATTTAATGTGCCAACATCATCCTGAATCCTCTTTAACCTGCATCATCTCAGAAAAAAGGAAAAGCAAGATCAAGCTATAAAGCTAAGTAGCAGATACAAGCAGGACCAATGTAACAACTGTGGTGGGTACTTTTTGTGCAAGCAGGTGAACAGACATGGGGTCCATGGCAGGGGGTTGGAACTGGATGATCTTGAAGTCGTTTCCAGCCCAAACCAGTCTGTGATTCCATGATGGACTAGCCTTAGCAGCTGGGTCCTTCTTGTGCTCCCAGTTCTTGGGATGACCCTAAAATGTGGCACTACCCTCAAGCTTGCACAGATGCAGGAAGATGCCTCCTGCTCTCCTGTGCTCTCAGTGCCCTCACAGACACTGGCAGGGCAGCAGACTGCTCCCAGGCTTCTCCCTTCAGGAAGGAGAGGAGCTCTGAGGTCTGCAATGATATTCCTGGCTACCCACAGCAACTCAGGGCAGGTCCTGTGCAGCCTCCGGATGTGGGTCTCGCCTACTTCCTTTGCACAGGAAGGCGGCAGCAGCAGCTCAAAGCAGCGGGGCTGTGAGGAGAAGCTGAGGTCAGGTCCAGCTCAGTGCTCCTGGTGTTGCTGCTGCAGTGGAGGAAGGCAGCTGCATCAGGCAGGAAATCCTGTGAGCTGCAGAAAGCGTCTCCTGGCTCCCCACTGGAAGGGTTTGCAAGCGGCGCTGAGGTGGCAGCAGGGGAAAGGTGCCCTTTAGACTTCAGTGAGAACTAGAGAAGTGAAAGACTGCAGAGAAAGCTCTGCACATTCATGCTGCACTCACACCACAGGCTCACAACCCTTGTGAGGAAGCCCTGGATAACCCTCTCACTCCAACAGCTACACCACAGCAGTGAAACCCCTGAAAAGAGGGACATATCCACTAGTAGATATGCTCAGCAGCACAAGGAAAGGCCATCCTCTTGCCAGCTTGGGCAAACAGGCTCCAGCACGTGTCCCAAAGTGCTCACAGAAGGGTTGGCTGCAGAAATCGTTTCCATCTCTTGTGCTTCAGCTGAGCAAGGTCTGATCTAGAGGGCTCACACTGTGAGCCTGCAGGGGAGATAGCTGGGGCTGTCCACCACCCTTTGGCTTTGTCCTGAGTTTCTGTGAATCCCCTTCTCAACACCTGAGTGGCTGCACATACAAAACCCCCCTGTTTGCCCAGGGGTGATCTGGCACCCACTGAAAGGCAGGAGCTGGACTGCTGTGCCTGGCTGTGATCCTGCTGCTGGGACTAGAGCCTTTCCCTCTGGTCATAATTGTGGTTTGTGTTTTGTTCTGCTCTCCTCAAGAAAGTCAGCCCAATGTGTGGAAACATTGCAAGGGCAGGCTGACAGGAAATTAAATTGCTGGAAGAAAAGATAAGCTATTCTCTGCTTCTTTTTCGCAGTGGGGGAGGAAGAGGGAGGGAGAGAAGAGGCAGCTGGAGACATTGTCAGTTTTGTAGCACTGCCCAGAACAGAAGAAAACACACAGGCTGTAAGAATTAATGATGAAATAGGTTCCTCAGGTGCAAATATCGTGCAATTACATTGCATGCTGTATCTTTATTATAAAACTTCAAATATGTTGGTACCTTGTAGGGAGAAATAGATCAGGACTAAAAGCTTCCTAACACCATTGCATTTATCAGTATTTATAGATATAAAAAAGAGAGCTATATATGTATGTGTACATATTTGTGTATATATACACATATGTGCATGTGTGTATATGTATGTATATGTACATCTATATGCATATGTATAGGTAACCATTTGCATATGTATCTTTAGATGATCTTAAGGTCCTTTCCACCCCTAACCATTCTATGATTCTGTGAAACCAGTCATTCACAGTTACCGAGTTGGAGCAGTAACTGGGAGGTCATCTCCAGTTGTACACTCCAGAGCAGCAACTATACTGGCACATCAGTTGCTTGAAGTGTTCAGAAAGTTCCCTCATAGCAAAATGTGAGTTTCCTCTAGCTGGAAATCTGCAGTTTAGGCACCTCTGGAGCCTTTGGCCACTCAAACGAGCCAGTGCTGTCTGCTTTAGACACCTCCAGGTTACAGGATGCTCAGTGTGTTACCCCAGTTTATATCACTCTCCACCCTGTTTTGGGCATCCACAAAACAACCAGCCCCTTGGCCAGCAGATTGGGGCTCTGCTGAAAGCCTGTGGCTTACCAGCAAGCAGGACCACAGGAAGCTTTGACATATCACTCTCACTGCTCTCTCTGCTCACACTCAGTGTTTTTCAACTCTTCATCTTTTTTCTCCTGGTAGCTATTTCTCTACTCATCCTTAGGGCACTTATTCATTCTCATAAAGGTTTTTCCTTGACAACCACAGTGTAATTTCTAAGCTACAACTTCCAAACCCTCCCAGCCTAGCAGCTGCAGGCCCTGGTAGTGGCTGGAGAGCCAGGATCATACCTAGATACTCCTCCACATGGATTACAGCAAAACACATGTATAGCATGTCTCTTTGTTGCCTATCTAATTATTCACTCACTAAGCTCTTTCTGAGCTGGAAGCCTCGTTCAGATCTGTCAACGAAGCCAGGCTCTCACATCATACCTGAAACACTGACCTTTTCCCTCCAAGGAGTGGGTTCCCGCTCCTGCTGTGAGCCTTGACCCTGCCTACAAAGCCAATCCACTCTGATGAGATGAAGGAAGGAGCAGCCAAGTGACCTGAGTCTGGAAACATAACCAGTTTCTTTCAGCACTGAATGTGAGGTGGGGGAAGAAATGATTCTAGGGCACCTCTCTGTGATGCTCAGAGAGTGCAGAAGTCTGCTGGTAATTTCATCCTCCCTTTCACAATGCAGGCAGGGCAGGACATGCAGAGGAAAAGGGAGGAAGATGCTAAAGACAGGCACTCAAAATTAAGAACCCCAAAGGCAACCATGTTAAGAAGAAAGCAGCAGCAGCTGCCTCCACTTTTCCTATACTAAAAGGTAGCCCAAGCAGTGCATCCCTGGGGATGCCCTGCTGGGAGGATTATTCAGCTTCAGGTCATCTGCTCGGGATGAAAGTTTTTGACTTATAGCTCTATAAGACAGCACCAAGAGAAGATGACTGTGAGGATGCTGCATGCAGAGAGGAGTGCTTGTCCAGGCTGCGCCCACTGTAGTCTTTGCAGAACAACAGAAAATGAGCATGTTTTCTGAAAGCTTCATGGAGATGCTTCTTGAACTTCTCACTCACGAAGGCATAGATGACTGGGTTGAGGCAGCAGTGGACAAAGGAGAGTGCCTCAGCAAGCTCCATGGCTAGGTCTAGTCTTTGGCTTGTCAGACAGTCATTGATGAGGTACATGTTCTTCAGAGAGTCCAGGAAAAGCACAATGTTGATGGGGGTCCAGAAGAGGATGAACACGATGACAACAATAAAAACCAGTTTAATTGCTCTGTACTTGTTCTGAGTGTGGCATTTCTGCAGGTGTTTCAAGATGCTGTGGTAGCAGAAAATGAGGACACTGACAGGGATCAGCCACCCCAGGACATTGACTTCAAAATTACTGAAAGTTCTCCAGCCATTGCTGCCATCAGGATAGTGAGGTAGGCACTTAGTCTGGTTATTGTCATTTGTTTCTTGGAAAAATATTAAGTCTGGTGCTGATGCTAAAATGGCAACTGCCCAAAGGACCAGGCTGGTGATAACCCCATGAGCAGTTGTTCGAACCTGTAGAGCGTAGACAGACTGGACAATGGCCAAGTACCTGTCGATGCTCATGATGGTTATGAAGAAGGCGCTGCTGTAGAAGCCAATGAAGTAAGCTGAGCTGACGATTTTACACATTGCATTTCCAAAAGTCCACTGAGTTGTGATGGAGTACTGAACCAAGAAGGGGAGGGAGAAAACAAAGAGGAGGTCAGAGATGGCGAGGTTCAGCAGATACACATCAGTCATGGCCCTGACTTTCTTGAAAACTGTTAGGACCCAAACGACCAAAGCATTTCCCGTGAGGCCGGTCACGAACAGGAGGGAGTACAGCACCGGAAAAAAGGTAGATGCAAATGCTGGGATGTTGTCAAGATCACAGCTGATGTCCAGTGCTGGGTAGTAGAAGTTGTATTCATAGACTGCAGAGGAGTTAGATGTTGGGGACATGTAACCCACCTGTTCAAGAACAATGAAGTTCATGAGGCTCAAATACCAAATTACACTCTTAGTATACATACTAGGCACAAGTCAGCTCACAACAGGCTGCATAGAATCCCAGACTGGTTTGGGTTGGAAGGGACCTTAAAGCTCATCCAGTTCCAACCTCCTGCCATTCCCAGGGACACCTTCCACTAGACTGGGTTGCTCCAAGCCCCTGTGTCCAACCTGGCCTTGAACACTGCCAGGGATGGGGCAGCCACAGCTCCTCTGGGCACCCTGTGCCAGCGCCTCAGCACCCTCACAGGGAAGAGCTTCTGCCTAAGAGCTCATCTCAATCTCTCCTCTGTCAGGTTAAAGCCATTCCCCTTGTTCTGTCACTACCTGCTCTTAGAAAAAGTCTCTCTCCATAAGGACAAAACAACTGTGCCTCAGCTGCGTTGGAGGATCTTAAGGTCCTTTCCAACCCTAACCATTCTATGATTCTATGATGCTAACAAGGAGCAAACATGAGTGATCAGTCCTCCCCGCAAGGTCCTCTGACAGCTGTAGTGGTAAACTAGAGGTTACCAGTGTTCCCCACCAGCTCTGTGTGGGGTGCCCAGTCCCATGCCTCAGTCCAGGTGGGGCACCAGAGCCAGAGACAGCGAACATCTCCAAACCAGAAAACAAATAGACATGGCCAGGGGGCTGAGAGCCCCCAACATAGGTTTCAGGGTCCTATTCTGTGTTTCCTTTAGAAAGCAGGAAGGAGCAGGGCTCAGGGAGGAACTGATGCTCGTCTAAAAGCTGTGTTTCCAGTTAGCTGAGTGCCAGAAATAGCATTTAATGGGACCAGTTCCTGCATAGTTCCAGCAGGCTTTCAGCTGTAAGGGCACCAGCACACACAGGTCACCAGTGGGTGCTGCACATTGCATGTTTCTCCGTCCCAGGTGAGACCAGAAGTGGCAGGCCTGGTCTGAAGGACAACTTCCCAAAGAGCAGATGGGCCTTTCTGCCCCTTCCTCCCTCCTCCTCAGCAGGAGCTGTGCCAGCATGAACTGCTGCTGCCAGCAGCTCCTGCCCACCAAGCCTTTACTGTGCCAGCAGGTTTTCCTTTCAAAACCAGTGGCTTTGCTCTCCCAGCAACTGTCAGGATGCACCAGCATCAGCAACATGCCCTTTCCCTGCTCCCTGGCCCTTTGCAGACCCCCAGCAGCAACCACAGCATCCCTGTGACACAGGTAAAGATGGATGACAGCACATCTCCTGGTCAGGATGTCCTCCACAGGACACTGCTAGTACTCCCCCTGCCCTTAAAGCAAGCCTTCCTCCACAAACACAGCCTCGTGAGCTGAAGATATTTTCACCCTATGTTTTTTTTCTGAGAAAAACGATCACACTGATTTCTTCTAAACCCCCATCATCCCTACCAGCACTGTGTGTCCCCATAGGCAAAACTGGACCCCTCACATGTGCTACTAGCCTCAGCCTGCAGGACAGCAGCCCAGCAGGGACAGACTCACCGATGTGTCCTCAGAGCCCAGCAGGTATGTCAAGTTCCCCTCCATAATCCAACACTGGGTCTGAAAGACTGCCAAAACGATGTCTTTCTATGACAGCTTTTAAGAGGCGGGCATACCTTCACCCATATATGGTGGCAGCATTTACCTTACCAAGTCACAGGCAAAGACCTCACTGGAGCAGTGCACAGTCATAAAAAGCCTTTTCCTTTGTGAGATACGTGTTACTTTAAATACATGTGAAACCCAAGCCAATGATTTCAGTCTCTCAGTGACAGTCGGAGGAACGGAAACGTGCCAGGTTTGTTTTCTGAATAAGCACTATGTTCTTTCACTTTGAGCGTATCTATGAACGTCAGTGGAAGAGGTTTGCAATTTCCCCCCTGTGCCTTGTGATGTGCCCCCATCCCACCTCCTGCCCCTGCTCTGCTGTGTCTGTGGCCAGGAGAGAGGAAGCAGCGCTGCCTCTCCTCTGCTCCAGGGATTCTTGGCGAAGACGTCTGTGGAGGATGGCCCAAGGCTGCCACATTAACATTTATCCTTGGGAGGCACCTTCGCCCTTGTACCCACTGACCCACAGACAGAAATACCCAAGGGAAGTGATCGTAGATTCATAGAATTTAGGTTGGACGAGACCTTTCACATCAACTCTAACCATAAACCTAACACTGCCAAGTCTGTATCACTCCTCCTTCCTAAAACATGCACTCTTACAGATAACACTGAAGTAAAGCCCTGAACAGTTTACTGGGTTTCCACCTCAGCCAAGTGTCTGCTGGGGCCCTACTGCTTCCTTAATCCTGTACCTCTCCTCTCCGAACTGGAGCTGCCAGGCTGCCCAGCACAAGGAACAAGCAATGCCTGCAGCCCCGAGCCTGCTGTGAGATGCAGCAGGGAGCGTGGGTCAGCAGCCACCCCGCGGGAGCTGGGGCTGAGGGTGACACTGGGACCCTCACCCCACTCCCACTGTGCTCGGGGAGGCGTTTCAGCGAGCTGAGCATGAGAGGAGCAGCATTTGCTGCTGCTGCTGCAGCATCTGCACAGGGCCTGTGGCAGGACATCCTCTGGTGCCTGCGCTGGTGGGTGCACACACCGCAGCACAGAGCACCCTCGGAGCCAGCGCTGCTCCCGGGACGCACGGCACGGGAGGCTTCACAACCCTTCCTGAGGTCAGGCTGTGTCCCAAAAGGCACAAAGAGATGCTGAAGGACACCTCTACTTGCAGCTCACTGAGCTCCAGCCCAGGCTCTGCCTATGGGGGGAGGATGAGGCGTCAGCAGGCGCCAGCGATGGCAGTGGCATGGGCTGCTGGCACCTCTTGTGCAGGGGAGAGACATGGCCACACGCCACTGTCAGGAGACCCTGGCTGTGCCCTGCATGGCAGCAGGAAGCCCTGTCTGAGGGGAGCCTGGGAGCAAGGCAAATAGGCCACCAGCTGCGGAAGGAAGGTACATTCTATCTCAGGAGACCTGGCTGAGCCTCTGTCACCTCTCCAAAGCGGGAGGAAACATTTTCATCCCCAGACATAGCTCCTTATTCTCTCAAAGGACAATTTTTGCATTCCCACCTTTTAAATGAAGAATAAACGTGTCTCTCAGTGGTGGCTGTATTGGCTGGAAAGGCACCAGAGCTTTGTCGCTCCCTTGCATCTTTCAGTGACATGAAGGGATGAGGCTCCCTCTGCTGGGTTTTCCTGCAGAAGTGAGGCACAGACATGATTTCTGTGCAGGGTATGTGACCACATACACATGCATATGCCCCTCCCTACGAGAGAGACATTGAGGTGCTGGAGCAGGGCCAGAGAAGGGCAACGGAGCTGGTGCAGGGCCACCTCACTACAACACCCTGTCAGGCAGTTGTGGAGAGCAATAAGGTCCCCCCTGAGCCTTCTCTTCTCCTGAAGCATTTTATCTTTCAGGCCAGACATTTCTTTACGAAGTGCTTTAGTCCACAAAGTGTGAACTTGCCAGCACAAGTGTGCAACAGCCTGTCTCCCTGAGCTGAGCTGGCCTGGCGACAGAGCAGGAGGAGATGCTGCTGCTGTGGAAACACCACTGGTCTCCCCATGTGTTGAAAGAAATAAGTTCTCAGATTTGGAAGGCAACTCAAGAGGGAAGTGGAATACGAAGAAAAGGGGTTTTCCCTGCTCTTCACCACTGTATCCCTGATTTCCTCCTTTGACACCCTCCCATGCCCCACAGTTGGGAAGGCAGCGAAGTCTGCCTTAGCCCTTCCCAGAAAAAGTCTTGCTGGTTACAAGAGATGCATTGTCTCTTTTTAACTTGGAGAAACAAAAGATGCTTTTCCCCCCCATGCAAAGACCAGAATGAAAGTACTTTCAGTAGCTTTCTCAGACTTTCTTATCCCTGAGGTGTTTCCTGAGTACCAGAGGGTTAAACAGAGGTTGAAGATGGAGAGCAGAGATACTTCTTGATGTTGCAACTGTTTTTCAGGCAGTGTTGTGTTCATTTCATACCTGTTCATGTTCCACTACAAGTGCACACCATGATAATGAGCAACACTCTTATCTAGGGTTATCACTATCAGCAGAATACAACAGAAAGCCTTTTTGGTGTCCCTGGGGAGATGTGTTGAGGATGTCTGTGAGTCAGCCTCACTTGGTTTCTTTTTATTTGAAGGCCTCCAGTCAAAACCTGTGGGTACTCCTTTTGGCAAACCTCATTTCTTCATGAGGGTAACCTAGCCTCTGTGCTAGGTTCCAGTTGAATTCTGGGCAGTGTTGGAGGGCAGGGGTTGGCCACTGCCTTCAGGGAAACCCAGCTGTAAGAGAAAAAGATGAGGTTTAAAGATCTGCTGCTCTGGCCCTTTCCTATTCCTTAACCTTCAAACTTCCTTTTCAGTATGTACCTTTGCTGTTCCTGGCTAACTCTTAACCAGGTTTTGGTTCCCTGATTGTTTCCATGGGTGCTGACATCACTTTTGTAGTTTGGCTGATGCTGGAGGCTCGGTTTGACCTCTGGTATATTGCTGTGTGGCTGTTAGGGATGTAACCTTTGCTAGACACAGCATAATGCCATGAAAAGGCATATAATTATCAGAAATACCAGAACTCAACTTATACAAGAATATTTGCCTGGCAACTCACTACACCAGTCAATGAGCAACTGCTCAGACAATCTGGAAGATGCTTTCCATCCCCAAACCCCCATCCAGCCCAGCCTATATGGAGGTGGCATTACTGACTTTAGAGAGAAAGCATTGTAACTTCCCTTGGCATCTGAGGCAGGGACAGGACCTGGAGGTGTTTCTAGGACTGTATTCCTGCATGTGCCAGAGCACCTTGGTGTTGGTACATTCCCCAGCTGGACACTGTGTCTCAGATCCCCATAACACACCCCACTGCACACGTCCTAGCCGTGCCTGAAAATGTGCTATCCAACTGGGATGTGTGGCATCCCAGTCATGGGTGCACCCCTAACACAACCTTGAGCATGATGCTCGTGTCAGGGGCCAAGTAGACTCCTTGATTAATGAACATGCCAATGCTTAAACCTTCAGACTCCTTCAGTCCACTGGAAGCCCTGGGCTGCAGAGAGATGTTGTGCTCAAAACCTTGTTTACAGGCAAAAAGGAGGCACAACGTGTGTGTAGGTAAAGCCAAGAATTGACTGTTAGTGTTATGGCAATCTCGAAGCTCCAGTCATCATCAGTCTAGACCTGCTGGATGCACTAAAAGGAGGACTACTAATGCAGTTTAAATTGTTTTGCACATGAAGTTTCTATCCCTTTTCATGTTGGCACATTCCCCCTTCCCTGCTGCTTTTGGTCCTAAGGCTGGTGGTTTTACCCAGGGGCTGGTGTGGTGGTGGGGAGGGAGACACTGGAGTGAGCTGTCAGCATCTCCAGCCCTTCCCTGGGACCAGCACAATGGTCCTGCTGATGGGTTTTCTGCTTCCCTCTCAAATCTGCTTGGGGTTGGGTATATATGTTTCCTAACATGCTTTGATACCTTCTTCTGCCTTCACTGGTCTGCAACCTCGTGTTACACCCAATTTACTATGTGCAGTGCCCTTACATATGTTAGATACTATTTTCATTCTGTGTGTTACTGCTAAATGCGGTTTTGCCAGCTCCAGGCCTGCATTCTTTTAACTGACCATCAGTGAGTTGCATATAGCTGCAGGGGTCCCCAGTGCCAGCCTGTGCCCCAGCTGTACCATCCTGTACCTGTATTCCTCTGTGCTGCATCCTGTGTGCCCAGTGCTCAGGGGACCATACCAGACTTCTGCTTGCATACACTGCACTGAGTCAAAAATACCTCATTCTGCATAGGATAGGGGGAACCCAAGGGGTGGCAGCTTTTACACCCCAAGTATGAGGCTCCTCAGGCATTTCTCCTGCGCAAGTCCTGTCCTCCGTAAGCACTTCTGCCCCTCAGAGTGGCCGCATCCTGCTTCATAGTTTCACAAGGCGCCAGCAGGACCAGAGCAGAGCATATTAATACTTTCTCAGCACAGCCACGAAGCTCAGCCCAGGAAGCTGCCCTGCCAAACTTCGCGTGTTTCATAGGGTAGGCATCAGCTCTAGAGAAGAGGAAATATACATTTAAACCCAAACAGGCTCTGCCTGAAGAAAACATTGGGGTTTACTGCAGCTATGAATTAAGGTAAGAGACAATTCCACTTGACCTATAATTAGACAGAGCAGGAAGACAAGAAATGGTGTCTGATGTACTTAAGTAAACTCTTCACTGCTTAGTACTTGGAATCTAAGTAATACTTAATTTGGGTAAAGATGATATGGGTAATGTTTACAAACTGTGGTAGTAGAAAGGGAAAAGCTTTTATTAATCAAAGTGACCCAGGGCAGAGAGATTTTACTGTGACTCATTATTTGTGGCAATATTCACCCTGGCTGGAAGTCTTCTTGGTTCATGCTGACAGATGACTAGTGTGCAGCATTAGCCCAGAAAGCTGGAGCAGGAAGATGCAGCCCTTCTACTTCATTGGAAGGTTTTTGTCAGATGTTGGCAGGGATTTCAGACCTCACCAGTGTTGCTTGATTTTAGGTTTAGTCAGTGAACCAGC